CCAGGATTCACATGTTTGTTAGGTACCCCCATTTAGCCCTCCCACATTTACCAAACTACATGGAGACTGCAGTGTGAAATTAATGATTTTCCAGGAATCTAAAATGTGCCATTAATATGCATCCAACTCGCCTCTTCCCTGAGCTGAAGGTGCCTATCCTGACCCTGCCTACATGTTTCTACACCCAGTTACATTTTTCAGCCCATGGGCAGCTCCACAATTAAATTCCACATTCACTGGGAGAAAGGTGTGCAAAACATATTTCAGATCCTTTAAAGGAAAAGGCACAACCTGCAACACAACAAGGGAAGGGGTGATTTGAGAAATTACAGCACTGTTTTTTTTTTTTAAGCTTTCATAGAATAAACACAGAGAATGGGAGGGAAACTTTGTCCCCCTCTGCTCCTGTTCTTGAAGTGAATACATATTTGTGTTTCCAATAAAAGGCCATTTTTACATTAACTGTCTGTAACAGCAGGAGACAGAAAAACTAACACAATCTCCACATCACACACAGGATGATCTTCATATCACGTGGACCTATTCTCAAAACTATTATTTATAAAAGACAACTCAGAAAATGCACAATGCATCTTTTCTGTGCCACCAAAAGGGCACTGTCTGAAGAACTTTGGGATCTTTGGGATCTTACACATTTTAGATATATATATTTTTTTCTTTTTGGCTTTCCAAAGTAAATTTAGCAGCCATGCGGGCCACCGTGTTTAATTAAGCTTTCAAAAGTCCTCTGACAATGCCAACAATTGTAGGACACTTCTGCGGCTCAATCATGCAATCACTGTGACAGTTCTATTTACAATTTGTCTTAGAAAGAGTTTCTCTGACATTGTACTTTGACAAAACATCCAAGCTGCCAGTTCACAACCTTTCTCTGTCTTATTTACAAATACAGCTTGTATATAGGACTCCCAGTTTCATGAACATGAGTCTTTGGGTAGGGGATTCACAAACAGAGCTCCCTATGGAAATATCCTAGGTATTTATTAGAAAACAATATTCTCAACTCTCTGGATTCTGAAGGTAAATAAAATGTTTGCCAGTATATTGGTTGATTTTTTTTTAAGTGCTGATGTTTTGGTTTTTTTGTTTGTTTGTTTGTTTGTTTGTTTGTTTGTTTTAGCTGCCAGGCTTGAAAATTCACTTCGGAGGTCAGTAGTTTTTATTCAGAATCACACAAATGAAGAGAAATGAAAAATAAGTAGTTATAATAGGATACTATAATTTATACTCTCATTTACAATTATACCATAAAGTATACAAATACATCCTCCAGTCCGAGTTAGGAAAGAATTAAAATGGGTACAAAAAGAAAAGGCAAGTTGATTTTCTAAATTCTGAAAAGCACAAATACGTTATACTTGATTTACCTGTAAGCAACATGCTAATGTTTTTCCATTTAAAATTAGTATAACCCCCTTCATGAGAGTTTCTGTCTTACATATCATTATCTAGATATCAGCTATACTGTCTAGGCAAATATTTCCAATATCCTGATATGTTTATGTTCAATATTTTAAGGAAAAAACAATGTTACATATCAATAACACCAGACTTGACTGCACTTTATGGGATTTATTATATTTTCCCCATCTCCCTTAAATACTAACTTCTATGACAGTCGAACCCTAATTTAAAGATTCCTATGTGCAATAAGTCAAAACTCCAAATCTGACACTGTGGATTAATATTTTTGGCCTTCTCTGTAAGAAAACAGCAGTTTCACATCCACTAATCTTCGATGAATATTTCCCCCATTATAAAATAAGAGACTCAAAAACAACAAAATCCATATTGAAAGCTCTGACTGACAGTTAAAGCTGCTTGTATCTGATGGTGAGTACTTCCACACACATATTGACAGACTGGGCCCACACAATATAAGGTATATTTCCAGTTCAATTAATACTATTTCAGTGGTCTCTGTAGATCACAATCACACAATATGCCACATATCTGAATAAAATGGAAAAAGCAACCCTGACCTGGGCACAGGTAACACCTGCACATGGATGGAGTGTGGGAGCACATACCATCTATTCACCAGGTAAAAAGCATCTTCCAAAAACCACTCAGCTTTGGGAAGCCTGAGCAAGTCAAAATGCACACTATTTTACAGAGCTTATGAACTCTACCTTATTCTCCTATTTGAAAGCCCCAAATTCTAAGCTTTATTTATCTGACGAAGATCTGTCACGGTTTTATTCCTGCTTCCTTTCTACAAAATGGCACAGAGCACACTATGAACTCAAATCCAACTTACATCAGTTTAATAAAGCCTTTCCTACACAGCGTGCTTAAATGACTACCTTTTATGTAGTTGCCAAACATATTCTTCCAGAGATTCATCAATATATCTCTTTCCTAATACAGACATTGCTTCTCCTTTCTTTTTGTGACACACAATTCAAATATCTACTGAATGATTACTGTTATTGTTTCCTTCCTCATCATAAGAAGGAGGAGGAGGAGAAAAGCAGACTTAGAATTGTGGAGATGTGCATTAGAGAAATGGGCTGGGAGTAACACAGCCGTCTTTCCAGAACTTCACTTCAGGGGCACCTGGGGGCCAGAGCATCATAATTTATGTGCATTGGTAGAATGTTAATTTCACCATAGGAAACTTTTAATTCATTACTGTGAATTATGATAAGTCATGATTCTAGTTACTGACATCTCACTTTGAGATGTGACCATGCTATTTATGTTCAGCCAATTCCAGGGTGGGAACAGGTGATTAAACACAATGAAAGGAATCAAGACTTTGTAATTATTCCTGTTTGCAAGGTTTACCTCACCTGGGTCCAAGCACTTGTGCACCCATTGACTATCTTAGATAGCTTACCATCTCAGTGCAACTATGTCGGATTAGCCTCATAAAGTATATCTTGAATTTGCTTTATTTGTTGTTGGCGGAAGGGACTTCTCTAGGCTCTGCTATTAAACCAGTTCCAAAAAAAAAAAAAAAAAAGGAACTGAACCATTATGACAACCAGAGAATTAAAGCCAATTTCTTTCCCCATGTAGATTCACAACTGTAAGAGTAAAAAGCCTTAACTATTTATAAGGCCTTCCCCAGCCTCAGAATCCTCCTCTAAATACAGAGGTCCAGAATTTCAAGCTGGTTAATCTGAGACTGAATAACTATCTGGAACCTCAGTAAGAAGTGTGGTTTTAATTCTTGCCTGACAGACACTGTGTTTTGTCTTTTAAACGAGCAGCTCGATATGTAAATACGGTGTTACATCACGCAAGCGTTACTCCATATTTGGTGATTTAGCAAGGCTTTGGATCTCCAAAGACGACAAATCCCCTTCCGCCTGCTCTTGCTTCATTAATCATGCCTTATACTTCTGTTCATTTTCCTTCCAGTCACAAGACAGCACATGGAAATGGTCATTGCCATATCCTACTGTGGGGTGGGGGGAGATGAAAACCTTAACCTATGTGTCACATAAGCTAAATGTGGTATATTTAAGAAAAACACTTCACAAATGCAGCTTTTCTGGTAGCAGACTTCTCATTTCACTAAAGGAAAAGTATCTGAGTGTTACTACAGAAAACATTTTTTTAAGAAAGAAAGAAGATGCCATGTTTGATTTTAATGATCAAATTGGGGGGTGGGGATTATATGACATTTACTCCTCTCTAGGCACTGACCTATTATGGTTTAACTCTGTGGTCAAACTATGTCAGAGAGACAAATTTCAGGGAATCCATTGATTGATTATATGCACTACCTTTCCTAAAACCGAACAAATCTTCTGCTTGGGGTGGGGGGTGGGTGTGGAAGAAAGTGATCCATTCATTGATAGGCGTGGTGTTTCTCTCACCACTTGCTTTGTCTAATGTGCTAAATCAAAAAGTATCTTAAGGGTCACCATATAGTGTTGCTGTTTATCACTCAGAGTAAGAAATTTAAGTCCCTCTCTTAGCCTTTAATTACTTTCCCCTTGAGCTGCTAAGAAACCCACACATCTAGCTACCTCCCTGGTAAAATTAACCGAAGGAGAGAGAGCTGTTGAATATGTATATGTATTTTTTCCAAGAAAAATTTTACATTGTGTTATAGCAGAAACAGTGGAGTCTGGACTGGACATTTGTAAGGGTGACATGCGGTTGTGTAAACCACAAACAAAATCAAGATACATCTGTCAAAACCACATCAGAGACAAGAGAGAGCACAGAGAAGCATTTATCATTGAGCTGAGGAGGCAGGCTGCAGGGAGCAGCCGTTCCTGTCAAACCAACCTTTTGAAATTTCCAACATGCCCTTAAACTTTTCGAGTAAGCATGTCTGTGCGCTTCAGCAACTGCCCTCTCTACTCTGGCCTGGCCAGTCGAAAATGGCATCTTAAAGTCAAGGTCACGGTGTCATCCCACCACGGGGCTGTGTTTAATTACAGCCCCATACGGGCTGACAGCCAATATGGATCCAAGGCTAGCCCTGGAGCTCAGTTAACTCTTTCCATCCTCTCCAAGCCACCCTGACAGCCCACCCCACTTCAGGGAAGCCTTGAGAACTGACTGCACTGCTAGGGAGGCCCAACCAGGTATCCTGAGTCAGGCAGGTCATTGGCTGAACCACAAATGTCTATGTGGCCGCTTTGCCTCTGACAAGTCACCAAGGCCAGAAATGGATGTTGAAAGCTGGGCTGGGTGTAGTTAAGGTTCAACACTTTAAAATGAGAAGAAGGCAGGCATAGAGAAGGAAAGAAATTCAGAGTCAGCAGATCCAGAGAGAGGGTGTCAGGTGTGTGTACCTATTCCACCTACATCTGACTCCATGAGGTGGAAAATATTTATTTTCTGTGTTCTGGACATATGCAATAGGAATGATTATTTTAACGTTACAGGGCTGTCATGGACAGTCACATGGAGATATACAGAAAGCACTTCACCACTCCTTACTGCTTGGCTACAGCGCCTCTGAAAATGAAAAGAAAACATGCAAACAGCTTTTCTCCTTGCTTCTCATTTACCTGCTATGTGTTCCTGTTTGGGGCAAATTCCTCTAGATGACGTTGATAAACAATCGTCATCCTCTGGCGTGACCTGGATGCCAACCTCCACAGGATTGGATGCTTTTTTCATCTCGATTGGTGAAGGGGAAGGTGGCTTATCCACAGCTTTTTCTAAGCAGAGGCTGCCATTGCATTGTTTCCGTTTGTGCTCGATAAAAATAAGAATGTCCCCCAATGGGAAGTTCATCTGGCACTGCCCACAGGTGAGGAGGTCATGGTCCCCTTCCGGAGCTCCCAACGGGCCGTGGTCTGGTTCATCATCTGTAAGAATGGCTTCAAGAGGTTCGGCTGTGGTTGGAAAAACAAAAGCACAATTATTAAAGTGCCAGAGGGGAGAGAAAAGGGGGAAAATACATTCTCAACCCCATCCCACCCTTCCACCTCACATTAAGTGTTTCTAGATTTCTCTATGTAACAGAAAAATTTGAGCATGCAAAATGTATAACGATGTGGAGGTTATCAACAAGAAAGTGCACTTATCAATGAAGCAAATCATCATGTATTCAAAAAAACCTGTCTGACTTGTGTAACTCCAAAGGAAACACACACACACACACACACTTCAAATAGGTCTGGTTTATAAGTTTTGGAAGAATGTGACTTAAACAAATAGTTAACACAAGGAGCATAAAGAATGCTTAAATAATAACTACCAAGAAAAACTGGTAAAAACATGGATTGAAACCAAATTTGTTTCTTTTTATCCTGTACACCAAGTTGTTTATTATGCCAAAGAAAAAGAGAGGTGAATAAACACATATACTCTTTGTGTGTGAATGTATATACACTTAAGTATACAGACACAGTTTCATGAATAAGAAAGCTACTATAGCACAATGTGCCACATTTACACTGCTGTAACAAAAAAAAAACTACTGGATTCACCTGTGAAACGGATCTAAGTAATAATCATAAAGCAGCATAATTCACTCTGCCAAAAATCTTTCTGATCCTACTCTCAGCAGTGCCTCAAAATCAAAGAAATACCAAATTCACTGGCAATTCTTCTCAGACACATTAGCTAAATGGGATACTTTGAGTACTTAAGAAAATAAGCCAATTAGTCATTTTTTCATTCTGAAGAAAGGAAAGCCTAAAATATTCTAAACATGTTTGCACTTGGTGGCATCCATGACATAAAAATCAGAATGGTCAAGCAAACGCCACATTTCAGAAAAGGGCTGAGAAGTCCTTTCTTTAGACTTGAAATACTTCGCCTAATGTTGTCAAAGTTGACTAATTTTCTGAATGAGCTCCAAAACGCTTCATTATGGGACTATTTCTGCACACATAATCACCAGCGGATGGTATAACAAGGTAGACATGTCTTTCTGTCCTGTTTTTCTTTCTTTCTTTCTTTTTTTCCCACTTTATACCAAAATACTCCAGCATCTATTTGAACCGCTTCTATCATTTTTTTTTAACCTTCCAGAGGGGAAAGGAGATCTGGGAAGTCTCTGCTTGTGAAACATTATGCTTGCTCTACCCCCCACAAAAATCATAAAATACAAAACACCACCAGGATGTTGCCAGTTAAAAAAAAAAAGTGAAGCAGAAAATGTACAAGTCTTAAACAGTTAATCAGTCTGACCTTCTTTAGCAAGCTGCCAATTTCACATTTAATGAACTTAAAGCCACAGAGAATCAAAAAATAGATTTTAATTTGAGTGTAGAATATTGGAACAGATTTTGATAAAGTGCAAAAATCCAGTGAACTCAGGTTAAATTTATTTCAACCCTACCCAGGCTGAATATTGAGGGGGAAGATCTGGAGTAACTCCCAGATGTGCTGGGTGAAATAATATTGAGAGAGCCCTGCCTAGCTGCACCTGTGCTCAAGTAGGACATGTCATAATTTCTAGCCTCTGGTACACCTCCTAATTTAACATAAGGTCACCACAGGAATATGAAGGTTATCTCCCTACTAATAAAGACAGCAAAGTAAGCACTTAAATGTTTCTTTGCCCAACATTCTGGCCAAAAGGTAAATTCAAAATGCACATGCATAAAAGGAGAGGAATGGAAGTGCTTTCGCTTTGTGTCTTTCTGTCATTTTTCTCCTACATTTTGCTTTCATTTTGACCAAGTGAAGAATGGAATAGGGAAATCATCTCCAAGATCCCTGCTATTTGAATTAAGTACACACTGACAAATGTTGGCTTTTTGCTGTTGTTGTTATTGTTTAGCATTAACTACAGGTGCTGAGGTTTGCAGACGGAAAGAAGACTCGAGGAAAAAAAATATTTTATTAAAGTTAAAACATTTTTACAAATGCCACCATTAAGAAATGGGTTTGCTTGTTTTTTAATTCCCAAGGCCTGACATGTTCCTGAATGTGAGATTATTATTTAGAAGCAAAAGGAAATATTCTCCTAGGTATCAAATAGTTAAAGGTAATTCGGTACAAAACAGACTTGGTTAAAGTCTTCTAAATGTAGTGACTGAACTGATTTACAATCAAAACCAGGAAATGAAGTGGTAATTCACAGGTTGCTGATTACACCTCCACATTTCACCTAATTAATTTTATAGGAGGCAAAGTTCTTGAAAATAACAAGATGATCAAATGTACAGATATAAAACCTGTAACCTCAACATTTTCTATGCTCTTAACGTAAATTATTGCTAATTAACAAGAATTATATCCTAATGTATGAAATACATTTAACATCGGCTCCTTGAAAAACATTTGGTTAGAAATGTTCAGAGAAAGACTCAAACGTGTTTTTATTATTGCTGCTATATTATTAAAAATCAGACGAAGTGGGGGACAAAGAAAATATGAAAATACAATTCTCTTGTTGCAAGTCTACTGATTTACATTGACATCTTTTCTCAGTGGCAATCAACATTTCCTTTCTGGGCATCAGATAATTTCTCTGTATTTTAATGCAAATTCCTCTTTCTCTAAAAACATTCCTAACCTCAGTCATTTTACCCCCTCCCTCAACTCAACTCCATCCTCCTTCCCCCCACAAAACCATCGTTTCTAAGCTCCGGCCTAACTCTAGCTACAAAGCGGGGAGTCCTCGATTGAAGTGGAAGGGAGTGGGCAAATAATCATAATAATTAGCCGCGAATTCTCTCTACAAGGGAAGGAAGAAATAGAAAATAAAATGCTTCTGCGTTCAGCAAAACGTACTGGAACGTCTCAGTGTCCCGGAGGCTGACTGAGATCTCTTTCCTCTTTTCTGTAGTTGCAAAAGAATAAATTTTTTTTAAAAAAATCCTTAGAAAAAATGTCGGGAAGAAGCAAGGGAAATGAGGACTGCCGGGGAGGGGGGAGGGGTAAAGGGAAATGTGTCTTCAAGTTTGCTTTCCAAGTCCTTCCCCTAGAATTTTCCTAACAGGGTAACGCAAACGGGAGGATGAAATGCAAAGGAGGAAAAGCAAAGAAACAAAAGCGAAGCCAGAGGCTGCAGGCCCCAGGCCGGGGGCCCAGCATGGGGTGGGCAGTGCAGAAAGTGAAGTTGGGCCGCCCGGACTCTGAGGCACAAAGCGATCAGCCTCCAGGCTACAGGATCTGGCCGCGCTAGCTGCGAACACGTGCAGCAGCGGCCTTGGGACCCGGACCCAGGGCCCAGCGGCGGCGGGCAGCCAGGGGCCTCCACTGCAGCCTGACGCCCAGAGCTGGGCAGCGGGGTGATGGTTCCCTAGGCCCGCCAGTTGGTGAAAAGGAAGTGAGGTTTGGAAAATTCGGCTGGTTAACCTGGTGCAGTCTTGGTTTCATCTCTCTCTCTCTCTCTCTCTCTCTCTCTCTCTCTCTCACACACACACACACACACACACACCCAAGAGCTGGTCCTGAAATTCATTCTCCCACACGCTAACACTTTTTACTTTACAGGATCTGTGCAAATGCTTTTTCCCCTCGCAAGTCTATGCACCCGGTGTGCGTCAGGCGGCGGCCACGGTTATTCATTATTAATGACGCTGCTTGCCCGCATCATTATGATGATAACTATTACTATTGTTGTGATTTCGGGCTCCGAGGCGAGAGCTGCGGGAGGCGGGGAGGGGGAGCATTGGGCTGCAGAGCTGCCCGGCATGCCTGCCTTAGCCGCCGAGACCTGTGCTTTGCGTGGGGAAGAGGGGTTGAGAGAGTGAACCTGGAGATCAAATGCAAACTTGCTATATATTCCTCCCTTCGGCGGTGCCCTGAAGCCTGAGAGCGCGCACTACCCTTTTCTTGGTACCAAAAATGCCTGGCCCGAAAGAAAGCGAAAACTGCACCCCGCTCCGCGCCCGATACACTGGTCTCCTCTGCTCGCGCACAGGGCTGGCGGCCGCGCGCCCGGTCGCCTCTTCCCGGCCCTGGCCAGAAGCATTTTTAAAGTCAAAATGAAGAACAAAGACACAAGGGGTGATGGGGGGTGGGGGGAAGAAAGGGAATTCTGCCCAACCGTTCGTTACCCCCACCCCCACCCTCGCAAAGCTCGTCCCTCCCCGGCCAAGGAACGCCGGGCAGGGGGTGGGGGAGGCTCTGGTACAGGTTCAAGTTCGCTGAGCTTTCTTGATCTTGTTCTGCCTCCTAGCGACCGAATGGCTCATTCAGCCCACGTAGCAAAGTGGGGGGGGGGGGGGCGTTCCTGAGGACCGGGAATGGCTCCCGCCCCCTCTGCGCACCCAAAAATTAGAGAAAGGAACGATCTCCGTACCCCCACAAAATCTGGCCCCCTAACCCAGTGCCCGCACTGGGACTGGCAGGGAGACTAACCCTCCCATTCTGGAGTGTCCCGAAATGGACCCAAGAGGGAGGAGGTACCAGGGAGCAGTTCGGACTGCGCGCCCCAGTCGATCCTTTGAGCCCCCACTGCATCCTTCCGAATGGCCCGGCTTTCCCGAGTCCAGCGAACACTGCCCTTCCTTCCCGCCGGTACCTGGCCGGGTAGTAACTTCACACCGCCGCGCGTCGCGTCTGCTCCGCATCCGGCGCGGCCGGGGGAGTGGGGGCGGGGGAGAGCGCGAGGGAGGGATGCGCGGGGGTGGGGAGAGGGAGGGCCCCGCAACGTGCCCGGGCGGGGGAGCTTCCGAAGTGTGTGACAAGTTCCAGGGCCCAGTGAAAAATTCAATTCCCAGTGCTCATCCCCCCCCCGCCTTTAAAAAAAAATACAGAAGCGAGTATAGGTGGTCCTTTAAACTTGCATCAAAAATTAAAAGAGGAGTCAGGAATGCGGGAGCAGGGTTTGATGAGGGCCTTCTCACGCCTTTCTCTCTATTACTCTCAAACTTTCCTAAGTGCCTACGCCCGCCTTTCCAGGCGCCGCTCAGCTGGAGTTAGCCACCACTACCCCTCACACAGGCTCACGAGGACCCCCGACCAAGCCAGGCCCAAGGTAAAGGACAAGAACCTAAAGGTGGAGCGTGCAGGGTCCTGGGATCCAGTACCCCCAAAATGCATATTAGAACACACTTCTCCCTTATCCCACCCCCTCCGTTAACCTGGTCTGGCCACGGTAGGGTGCTGGAGGCTGGTGGCCGGACAGAGTGGGAGAGGGGCAGGGAAAGCACGTGGTGACCTCCCCGGGGTCCAGAGCAAGAGAAGTCCGAGAGAGTACCCGGGGCTAAGTGGAGCGGGCGCGCAGAACGCGCTTTTACAGTTGCTTTGCAAAATAAAAATGCTTTACAAAACCGAATTTCAACCAGCCGATTTCACAGTCTGGGAGGTCGGGACCGGAGATCAGGGCATTGTGCTGGGGATGGACGGGGACCGCGGGCCGGACTGGCTCCCAGTCGCGGTTTGGCCAGCAGCGGTGCCTGGCGGGTGGGCGGCGGGCGCGGGGTGGGCGATCCGGGGTTAGACTGGGGCGCGGCGAGGTCGCCGAGGCCCGGTCGAGGCCGCCGCCTGCTCCCGGGCTGCCGCGCCGCGCACGGTCCTCTGTCTGTTTGTTGGCAGGAGGCTCCCGCACACGCGGTGCTTGTAAACATTCAGACACGAGATTTTTCCCAATCAAAATCCACTTCCACTTTTTTTGAAAATCTTCCAAAAAATAGTAAGAGGAGGGAGTTCCTCGCTCCCTCTCTGTGCCGCCGGCGCTTTAAGTTTGCAACTGAAGGGGTTTGGGGGAAGGGGGTGATTGTCAATGCCCCCCCTCATTAGAGATTGTGAGATTTTTAAGGGGGGGGGGGAGTCAAAGAGGAAAATGGTGAAGAAAAGGGCTGGCAGAGCGTTTGACTTCTGTTTGAGGGCAAGAAATCTTACATACTCTTGCCTAGTTTAATTTAATTCAAATTTTATTTATTTATTTTGCACGTCTTCTCCTTGCCGCCTCTAAGGGCAGCCGCAACCCGGCGGCCGCGGCCCAGGCTCCCTCCCTCCCTCTCCCGCGTGCCCCTGGCTGCCTCCTCCCCCGGCCCTAGCTCCTGCCTTCGGCGGCGGCGGCGCAGGAGGGCAAGCTCTAGGAGACGGCACAAAAGGCAGCGGGACAAACACCCACCTTCGGCCGGAACAAAAGGCGGCAGCGCCGGCCGCTTCTCCCGTGCTTCTCGGTCACCAGGCTTTCCCCGCCACTGCAGCCCCTCTCCCGACTCCGCAGACTCAGGAGCGCCGGGGGCCCCTTTCCACAGTCCCACTTTCTCACTATTGTGAGGATGACTACTTTCCTCCCGCTGCACACTTGACCGTGAGCGCTTTGGTGTCCAAGGGCCGATCTTACCTCTTTTCTCCCCAGGAATTGTTTTTTAGACTTAGAATGCCTCCCCCCCCCCTTCAGTTTTCCTACGGTGAGTGGAAGCAACCTCCTTTCCCTCCAGCTCCCACCCCCAGGTTTGCCTGTGAGTTGCTCTCATCCTTAGCATTGTTCATTATTTTGCAAAATCGGGGGGTGGGGGATCATTGCATTCCTTTTTGAAAAGAGAAATAAAGCGGCGGAAAGGAGAAAAGAGGAGGAGTCAATTTTTTGTAAAATTAAATAAAATTGAAAGGTGCGTGCTATCTCAAAAGTGCACACACGGCTATGATTCAAGAGGTGATGAGGATTTTTTTCCCCTTTAATCTCTTTTACTTCGACTCTGAGGTTTTTCACGTGAAAAATTTAAAAATGCATGCACACACCTCTCTCTCTCCCTCGCTCTTGCTTCTCGTCCTGCGCGCTCTCGTGATTATTAATAATAATTATTACTATTATTGGGTTACTTACGCGAGAATTCCCGTTTGCTTAAGTGCTGGGGTTTGCCTTGCTTGCGGCGAGACATGGTGGGCTGCGGGGCGGGCGGGCGGCGGCGGCGGCGGCGGCGGCGGCGGGCGGACGACGGCTCGGTTCACATCGGGAGAGCCGGGTTAGAAAGAAGGAGACTCCAGAGAAAATATCTTCATCAGTGCCTTTTGACATCCAAAATAAATTAGAAATAATACAAAGATGGCGCAGGGAAGATGAATTGTGGGAGAGCCGTCATGGCTTTTTTTTTTAAGCAAAAAAAAAAAAAAGAGAGAGAGAGAGAGAAGAGAGATAGAGGGAGAGAGAGAGAGAGAGGGAGAGAGAGAGAGAGAGAGAGAGATGAAAAAAATGGCAAAAGCCCCCCTGAGCTGCAAGTTCAAGTGCGGACGTGACGTCCCTGCGAACTTGAACGTCAGGAGTCTGGATGGACAGAGACACACAAAACATGGGCAGGGCGAGCAGGAGAGAAGGGGAGGAGGGAAGGGGAAGCTCACACCAATGGACACACATCAGGGGCTGGACATGAAAAAGAGACCAGGACAAGCCAATGGCCAGTGCGGGGCGGGGGAGGTGCCGGGCGGGGGGCTCTGCAGACGCCAGACGCGGCCCCTGGGGGAGGGGCGGGTAGAGGGGAGGGGGCTTGGGGCCGCTGGCTCACCAGTGGCCGCAGCGAGCGCCGCCGCGGTGGCGTGGCCAGGAGAGAAGAAAGGGGTGGCGGGTTGGGAGGGGGGGAGCAAGACTTGCGCCTTGCTCCCCCCCGCCACACGCGGACCCTAAAATGAAAGATTATTTAAGAGGGGGAGGGGGGAAAGAGTGCCTCAAGAGGCTGCAACCCAGGGCCGGGGAGGCGCGGGAGGAGGGAAGCCAGGTAGAGTTGCTCCCGGACACCCTCTCGGTGCGCACACCCACTTCCCCTCCCCGCCGCCGCGGCTCTCGCTCCCTGCCTGCTGACGCCCGGGGCCGAAGTGAAAGCCTCGAGCCCGCGGCAGCGCTCAGGAAACTTTGCCCACGGAGAGGATAGGAAAGAAAAATCACCCGAAGTTGAGAGCTGAACCTCCAAGTTACACAGCTCCGCAGCGGGCAAGGGGAGGCGGGAGGGAGCGCATGGAGAAGCGGAATCCAGCCCAAGTTTGGAGGGTTGCGGGTCCGGAAGGGTAGCGCCGGGGCCTCCTGGAGCCTGGGCGGCCTCGAGGGAGGGGGTTGGGGAGAAGGAAACGGCGCGGGCCTGGGCCCAAGGGCCGGGAGGGCGCCCCCAAAGCCGAACCAGGGACTGGGATATGAGAGCCCCAACAAGCCTCTGAGTCTAATTCAACTGGATGCACCGAGTTCCCAGCTCTCAAGGGTCGTAGGGAGAGAGACCGAGGGATAAAGACCGGGGAGCCAGAGTCGGGGCGGGTTCCAGCCCAGGGAGGGGAGTGCTGGGGGCCGGGTGGATGGAGGCACTAAGGCTTCCACCTCTCTGAGCAGCCCAGGGCCGGAGGACAAAGCGCGGGCAATCTCAGGAGTCCCAGTCCCTGGGAACGTGCTCCCGGCGCCGCGGGAGGTCCCGGAGCCGGGTCTCTGGGAGGGACACACCCCCTCCCATTCCAGAGTAACTGCAAAAGCGCAGAGGGATAAAAAGAAAATGATTCTTACGGGCGAAGCACAACAGTTCCTGTGCTGTTACCCAGGGAAAGAGAAAATGGGGAAAGGAGAGAGTGACTGGCTCTCAGGAGCCGCGGGAAGGCCACAGTGGCGAGATGACCGCCCCAGGTCAGCGCCTCACTGACTCCCCAGGCGCCCGCAGCCGTGGCGCACAACCCTGAGCCCGCAGCTCCTTCTCGCCTTTCTGCAAGACGTTCCCTGGAAATTAGGGAAGACCTGTTGGAAATAAACCCCTGTCTCTTTAATGCACACACGCACACACACGCGCGCTGCCGCTGTCAAAAAGCGGGCTTCACTCTGGCGTGGGATACTTTCAGTTTTACGTAAAATGTACAGCAACAGCACCCCCTGCGATTGGAAAGTTTATTCAGGAACGTGCCTGCAAAGTCCCCCGGCGTCTCCCGCCTCCCAGCCTCCCAGCCTGCCTGCACCACCCTGCAGCCGCCGCCGCCGCCGCCGCCGCTGCCGCCGCCGAGGAGATCGCGCTCGGATTCAAAATCGGGAAGGGCCGGCGGGCGGGGGGGAGGGCGGTGGAGATGGACTGAAGTCCGAGGGAGGCACGGAGGGTGCAGCGTAGAGACGGGTGGCCGCGGCCCGAGAGACCCCGAGCTGCAGGTGGACATGTGTGAGTGTGTCTGCAGAGCAAGGAGCCTTCCTTCCCTCTCCTCCAAGCGGCTCCACATTCCCTCGTGTTTTCTCATCCCCCTCCTCAGCCTGAGAGGTGTCGTTTCCGTAAATTCACCCAGCCGGCGGGGGGCTTTATTGTTTTAAGCAAGGGCCTCGGGCTTGCACGCGCTCACCCACCTCCCAGCTTCTCCGGCAAGCGGCTGTTTTTTTTCCTGCGTCGTCTTAGGAAAGTTTCAAACCTATTACAAAATGACTGGCTCGCCTAGCTCGGTGAAGCTTCGGGCCCCTCTAAGCAAGGAAAGGAGGTTTTGATACCCAACACGAGGAGAGGTGTGGGCTGAACTGGGTTTGTGTAAATGGGGTTTGTTGTTGTTATTGTTTCCCTCCAGTTTGAGGGGGGGGGGAGGACCTCAAATTCTTTTTAAGAAGCAGGAAGATTCACTCGCAGTAAAGCTCTGTGGCGTGTGCGTGACACCATTTCCCCTTTTCTCTGAGTTCTTCAGAGCAGGTCAGCGTCTCTTCCACTACTGTCTGGGTTTTTGTCTTGTTAAATCAGTCTACGAGCTACCAAAAGAATGCTACGGCTGGGGTTGGAGGGTAGGTGGGACACTGAGTTGGATGGCTGGAGGGAAGGTAAGGAAAGGGAAGAAGAAAGTGCAACTGGGAGGCCTTTGAAAAATAAATAAATAAAATAAAAGCCCCTTCAGGTAACAACGGTGAGTCAGGTTCTTTCAGAATGGAGCTTTTCAGATTTGAATCTTGTTCCCATCCATCCATAAAAGTTCATATAGAGAGAAGATATATAAATGGGAGGATTGTGTTGTGGAAATATATACTGTATATGTGTGATTTATATATAATGGTGTGTATAAAGCTTTTCAGGGTTGGCTGTAGTGTAAAAAGTAATGACTTTATTACCTCTGAAAGGTTCTGTGGTTCACATTTAACAGTCTTCTGAATTACAATTCATTACACAATTGTGTTCTCTAAAACCGGCACCCTATCAGGGCTGCTATCTGTGGTTATTTCCAATAAATAACTGGCAACATTTTATTGATTTTCTTTAAAAAAAAATCATAGGAAATTAAGCACTTAGTTACAAGTAGGTCTGCTATGTTATTGCACTTGTTTCAGATTCCAGGGGGTTCCTTCCGAAACCACATCTTAAAACATACATTAAAAAGCCAGCTTTGCAGCTGCTTTCCTTGGGTGCCAATGGAGAGGTAAGGAGCGACGTTTCCACCATTAACATATATTTAATTTCACCATCATAAAATGCCCAGGGTGAAATGGGGACTGCCCTCCTCCTCCGCCCCTCCCCCAGCCACATTTCACCCAGTCTGGAAAACTAGGGCTGTGCGTTGGCATTTGATCTCTCCTTGTCGCGGACCCCCCTCCCGCGTCCCTCTAGCTCTGCGGTGCGGGTGACGCCCCCCTCCCTCATCGCTGCTGGATGCTCGCTACAGAGCCCAAAAGTGGGGGAGGGGGAGAGTTCGTACATGTGCTTAAAGAAGTAAAAATGTGTTGTTTTAAGAGATTTTAAAATATTACATAAGTATTGATTAATGATGCAGGTGGTTTTGTGGGGGGGGGGGGGTGAAAGGTCACTTTAAACGCACACACTTGGATACACAATTAGTATATTTACCTTTCCAGAAGTGGCTTTTAGAAAGCAATAAATTATGACAATGTTAAAATATTTTTCTGGTCTTTCAGTTAACTTCGTTTGGGGCTGTAGAACCTTTTCTGCTTGCCTTGAGAGGGTAATTACGCTCCGTGGGCTCTTTCCCAAACCTTTGGTGACGACACTGCATGTAAACTCCAGGCCAACAGACGACCCCTCCCCTCCCCTCCTCCCACTTTTTATCTTGCCGGCGGAGGAGACTCCCCAGTACTTCCTGCAGTATATATTCTGCCTCTGATCTCCGTACTTAATAGCCAAGTCCTGGTTTATGCTTTATAATGTGTTGACAAGTTTTCTAACAGACTTTCTGAAATAATGCACATATATTCACGTCGGTTAGAAACCCACCGTATTTTTAGAGTCGAGTAGATCTATACCCTAATGCAGCGAGAGAGTGTAAATCATAGAGGATTTCATAGTCCTTTCAGTAGTTTTCGGTATGAAGTATGAGCCGCGTGGCCTCCAGACGTAACCTTTTAGAAAAAAAGACAGTGCTTTTATTTTATGGTGTAAAGTGCTTTTAGCTCCAGGGCTCTGAACGTGAATGTGGTCAACAAACAGCTCGAAGAGGGAGACTTAATACAGCCCCAGCCCTCGTGCGGAGGATCTCCTGGCGCTGGGGACTCGGGCTGAGCTGGAGAATGAAGGGTTAAAAGGTCTGTCTCGATGGAAACTACAAGATTAAAATAAAATATTCACTTTCTGCCTTTAGGGGAAAATACTTTTATAGACTTAAAGATAAATAAATGAATGACTGAATGAATGATTAAAAATATAGTCAGTCCCACCTTGCTTTTATGACTTCATCCTTTCACCCTTTTTTCTTCCTGCTTTTCTTTATTATCATTATTATTATTTTGTTTTTCCTAATTGTCAGATCAGAAAATAGAAAATGGGCAGTTTTCTTCATACAAATAAAACAGGTTTCAATCCTGCATTTGATGTAGGTTTCGAATCTGGGGCTGTTGAGGATGGTGTGTTAAGGTGTTAGACAATGGGAAATGAATTTAAAAGGGAGGGAGATTGCGTTTGAGGAACCAGGTAGGCTTCCTCTTCCTCCTCTATCCCCAGTGTCACCCTGAACCTGAGACCCAAGAGATCCCTGGAGAGCAGCAGACACACCTCTGTATGGACACAGACTTCCCCCCAGGAGGCTCCTAGTAGATCCATTACTCACTCAGTCTAGCATCTTTCTTCAGAGGGCCCCTGGGAGCTGGAGAGTTCCTTCATATACCTGGATGGACCCATCCAAAAGGAAAGAGAAAAGAAAGGAAGAAAGGAAGGAAAAAGCTGAATTGGCTCTATGTAAGTCTATACTTGCCTCTAGACTGGGTTGTGTGCTGAGTCAATAATGTATGGGGGAGGGGCAGTAGTCTCACCACTTAAGAGGCCCCTTTGAAGAGACAAGGAGTTCTGGTTAGAACTCTCTGGGTGAAATAATTTAGAGTCCTAACATTGACAAGATGCACAGTGCTGGGCAGTGTTGCCAGTTCCAAATATATTCTGTGCTAGGATTCCAAGTACAATACTAGGCACACAGTAGATGCTCATTGAATGGTCTTTGAGTG